ATGGGCCCCTGCGGACACAGTCTCCATAGGTGAATCCGCGTCCTAGCGTTTCCCCATCGTTGGGCTTCGGCGGACCCTTCCTACATACGTGGACCCGTATCATGGCGTTTTCCCCACTAATGGGCACCCTTCCTCGATCGCCGGACACCTACTCTGGTTTTTTTTTCTTCAACTGCGGAGCCTCGGCACCCTTGTCCGTCACCAGTGCACCCGCACTCCTTGTAAATTTCGAGAGTAATGGAAGAAAGTTAGGAAATATATAGAAAATTTGATCAATTGCACCATTTGATTTTGCTGTCCTCCGTCAACGACGAAGAATGTCCTTCTTAACGACAAAGACGATCCTAGGTCTGCATAAACCCCGTGGGACCTTAACGAGAGATACGCCAAAAGCATGTCCGGTGGAGTCCCATCGCTACGGGACACCCTCGACATCCAACCATCCCTTCGAAGTTGCCGCTGTCTAGTGTGTCTCAATTACTTGGAATCTGCAATAAAGCTCCAGCGGAGGGGCTACTCTGCTCCGTACACTGCTACTCTGCAACGTTAAATTGTTGTAAACACTGTCTCTCCGGAAGTGCTTGAGACCGCTAGCGGAGAGTGCAGCCACGAAACCCTGAAAACGCTGTCTAAACCTCTTGCTTTCATCACTGCTAACTGTATTCATCATTCCGGCTTTCGCACATCGTTTGCGCCTCAACATTTGCTATTGTCAATCATTTTCGTCAATCGATTGTCGAATGGTGAACGGTATCAGGTACGTAGAACGGACTTTCACGTCTGACCCTCGAAAAATCCGCGCAATACGGGTCTCTGTTAAAGAGGATTCTGCTTTTATATGATAACATTTCTTAAGCCTGTGGCATACTTCTCAACGATACCGTCGCTAGGAAGCAAATGAAAGAAAATGGTCAGAAGAAATCTGCGTGGAATAGTGTGTTTGCATAGGAACAGTTGTACGAAAATTGTTTGAGGTGAATGGTAGCATCGAAAGGGTTGCTGTGATAAAAAAAAAGTGACGGCAAAACGACTATCGCTCCGTATTCTATTGGACCGCTGAAATATCTGCGAAGAATTCCTTCATTTCCGCATGATAAATGGTTGGTATCAGCACAAAGCTTATAGAATAGTTGTTTTCGTGGGAAGCTGATGAAAAAGTTGGTTGGCCACTTCCTAGGAAATTATGAAAAATATGAATGAAACGAAATGAAAAGCTAGTGGGCAGCTATTTTTCCACGGTGGTGGTGAGATCATCATGGGTACGATAACCTGAGACGCGCCTCAACCCACAATCACTAATGGTAGCGCCCTTGAGGGGAACCTTCACCTATGATGAGGATAAGTTGGGTCCGGAGCGCAGCTTCAGATCGCAAAAGGGTGCAGAAAGTCGCACATTTTTCAGGGAAAGGCAGAAATACATGGAACGCGCAGTTGAGAATTAAATTCTGCATATAGAACAGCGTTAGAAAACATGAAGGCAGGAGTCGTCGGCGAATACCGGTTGAGAAAAACTATTGAAAATATAGGCATGAGACTGTCTGAAATCTGAACTTTGGCCTGGAATATCATCTTCAACTCAAAAAATTAAGTGTTGCTCAGTGATCAGGCGGAATAACGATGCGACATTACACTAGATGGTATTTGAGTGACAGAAACGCAGCCAAGAATAACTGAGAAATCTTCTGACACTTAAAACCATCATATCTTCTTAATTTCGGAGAATTGAAAGTTGCGCAGTTGTCAGCTGAACTCAGAACTCAAATCCATCGAAATGGTTGGGGAACAAGCTTCACTTTTTTGACCCCTGTCTCACCACCACCGCACCTATGGACGTCATACTATGAGGTTGATGCAAAAGAAATGGTGCCACTTTCTCCACAAACATATTTCTTTTAAGCAAAGTATAGACATCTACATCTATTAAACAAAGCGCCGTTAGGGGGCTAGAGCGGCTAGAGATACGGTGCGGCACTCACAGACACCGCAATCTTGAGGCGCAGACTGAGGGGCAAAATGGCCGATTTCTAGAGACTCAGACACGTTCGTTTCGGGACACACCAACTTCGTCACTGCTGGCTCCCCCGCATGCACGGGGTAGTGATGTCATCATCTTCGCTGGCGGTCTGGCAGCACAGGAGTGAGGGATGTTTACAAGCTTTCAGGCTGCACAATGTACGCAGCAGGAAATCCCCCTTCCACCGTTGCGACGCTGTAGGCACCTCAAATGAAGGGGTGGGCGGGTTCTATGAGGACTGCAGCGTCTTGGAGGCTGGACCTACGCGGTCGCCTCATCCGGTGGATGCAACTGCCCCGTCCCCTGCTGAATTCTCGCAGCGATTGTGCGGTTAGGACATGCGCGCGTTTCGAAAAAAGCTTCTGCACTAGCACACAGAGTAAAG